GCCGGTGAGTCCCCAGGGTGGATGTGGCTGTGAAGAGGCCTGGTGAACCTGCCGCGATTGCCTTGGCTCACCACTTAGCCCCCAAAGAAGGGATTTTTGTTGCTGTTTCTGCTCCCACCCTCCCGTGCAGAGCTGGTAGCGTTGAGGGAGATGGGCAGGATGTTGGGGACCACCTGAACTCAGGTTTGACCTTCTTCACCCTAGCAGCTGTGATGCAGAGATGGCAGCAGCTAAAAATCCCTGTGGCTTTGCCTTTGCCTAAGGGGAAAGGGTGGTAGGAAGCACTGGGAGTTGGACTGTGGGTGCCTTGTGAAATGGCTTGTGTGGTGTCCCAGGCTGGAGCCTGAACCTGGTGGTAGCACAGCATTCCCAGGAGATGCCAGCTACAGAGGGCACTGCCTGTCTGCTGTGCTGGTGAGGAAGCCATAAACCCCGGACTGTGCACCCTGCATGCCTGAAGCAGCCGGGAGCCTCTGCAGGTCCTGGAGCTGGCACTGGGATTTCTTGGGAGACCCCATCCTGCTCTCCTATAGCAGCACCACCTCTGTCGCCCTCCCAACACCTGGAAATTGCCCCTGCTGCTCCCCATGCAGCAAGCTGCCAGCGAGGTTGGCCACAGAGGTACCAGGTTGGGTCTGCCCTGCTTGCAAGGCGTGCAGGATGCCCTGGGCTACTGCAAGACACATGAGGCCGCTAGCCCCTTCATGCAATTGCTGTGTCACCTGTAGCTTGTCTCCTGGCACAGGCATTGACCATCCCCATCATCCCAACCTTTGGTTGCCAGAGGGCCAAGGGGGCTGCTTGGGGCTGCAAGCGAATGGGCATGAGCCAACCTTGGGGTGTCTGTATATTCATCTGTTCTCAGCAAGTCAAATATTGAGTCTTAGCCAAAAGCATCCCCACCACTGCCTTGACTTGATCTGGCACAATCTACACAGAACAGAAATCTTCCGAATCCTCCAGTCATAAGGAGAGCTCTGCAGGGGCTTGCCTGGTGTTAAAGTTGCATTCCCCTTTTCCTGTTAAATGCCCTAAATGGCTGTTTCTGTGGCACCAGAAGCATGTTCTCCAGTTCCCCAGTCGTGGTTAGGTTCCCCCAGCCTGGCAGGGGGAGCACCCAGGGGCTGTTCATGTACAGCAGCAGGGACAAGCCCTGTCCAGAGCTTAATTGTCCCTGGGACAAATCCTGCTGTGCCTGTCCCAAATCCTGCTGTGCCTGTCCTAAGTGCAATCCCTGTGGCTGTCCCTAGAGAGCCTGCCCCAGCCAGGATGATGTCCTCTGCTTGTATGGAGAGGAGAACCTTTTGTGCATTTTCCCCTCTCAGTCTCAAACCCTGCACTGTATGGAGGATGCTGATGGCACCTGGGTGAGTGCAAGGGGCTGGGGTGCTGAGGAGTTATTATTTTGGAGCTCACAGAATGATCGAGGTTGGAAGGGACCTCTGCAGATCATATAGTGACCATGCACGTGGACACCGTGGTTGTCTAGGTGGCCATGCACCAGCAGGGACACCTAGAGCACATTGCACAGGATCACCTCCAGGCAGGTTTTGAAGATCTCCAGGGAAAGAAAAAAAAACACCAGAACCTCTCTGGGCAACCTGTGCCAGTGCTCAACCATTCCCCAGATAATGGGGAAGAGACACCCACGTCGCTGTCCAGGCAGGACCTTGGAGATGTGACATATCTTGTGTTTCCTAAGAGATGCTGAGTCAGGTGGGAAGAGTGGTTGGTAGCAAAGTATGCTTGTTGATAAAAACCCAAACTAGCTTTTGAAGCTACATTCTTGGTTTTGAGGCTGCAGTGTGTGTGTGGATCTTATTTTTGATGTTTTCTTTGAGCTATCTCACTCCTTGGTACTCAAAAATCGGGACTGCTTGCCTAAAATAGTTGTTCTGCAAGCCTAGGCTTTAACACAGTCATAGTCAGCAGCGTAAGTGAGGAGATCAGAGTGGCTGGCCAGGATGGAAGCTGGTCTCCACTCTGGCTGTTGGAGATGGTTGGATGCATGTGGTAGTTCATGCAATTGCTCTAAAATTCAGCTTTTACTCCAGAACGCGCAGAATCTCAGCCTGAAGCAATGACTTGTCTTGCTGGGCTTTTCTGGGGTGCGCAACCTCCGTTGGATTGTATTTATTAGTCTTGCCTGTTCTTGACAGCAACAAATTTGTAGTCCTAATTGTAAGGACTCTCTTGGGACCTCTCTGGGTTGGCTTAATGTGACTGCCATGTTTAGTGCTGACATCCTGAAGTAATGTGCTCGAGTGGTGAGACAGATAATAGCTGCTGACTTCTGTAGGGGAAAAAAAAGGAAAAGAAATCAACCAAACTTCTGACTTGGGTGCAAAACTTGCGATACTGAGAAATAGGATACTTTTTCTAGCATCACTTTTGCCTAGCAGTTTGTGTGGAAAATGTGCACAGGGCAGATTTACATCTGTGTAGCTGGGACGGAAGGAATATCCATACTTCCTTACTTTGCAGATAAAAGGAAGCAACACCACAGGTTATGCATCAAAGCCACCAGTGTGTCTTTGCCAAGTCTGTGGCATGTTGGTAAAAATCCCCCAAATTCCTCTAGAAATTTGCACCCTCCTGAGATGCCATTTTGCTGACCAGTGGTCCCTTATTTGAGAGGGAATTTCAGTGCTTTCATCTAAGCTTTTGCAAGAAACCCAAGTTATTTTATCCTGAAATTTTCCCTCTGAATGTTTCTTTCCCTCTTCCTCAATCAAGAGGGTCGCTGCAGCCTTTGGTGGGACAGGGAGATGTCTAGAGGGTGACATCTCCACCATCTCGGATCACATAAGTGAACTCCTCCATCACTAAACAAAATCATGGCTTGGTGCTTCTGACTGGAGAAAGCAGGATGGGAAAATATCTGAGGCTAAACTGGAATGCGAGGAATAGCCACCAGGAGGAGCAAGTGATTGGGGCAGCTGGAAAGCAGAGGCGCTATGAAAATCCTGTTCCCAGAACCCACTCAGGTCCTTTTTTATTTTTAAGGAAAACCTTCCAGCTGTGCTTTTCCCCCGCTATTCCTGCAGCCAAAGTGAGGTTTCCTCCTCTTCCTTCCCTTCTTTTTTTTTTGTGGCAAGGGTTGGGAAGCGGGAATATCTCACTGGCTGCAACTGATTGCACTCATGAACAAGCTTGGAAAAAAAAAACTCATTGCAAGGGAATCCTGGGCCTGAATGCTTATTATTTCCTATTAATTTTCTTAGTGTGGAGAAAGGAAGCCTTCTTATCCTTCAAGAGCTAAATTCACCTGACGGGTGGCCCCAGCCTATATGGGGGATTGAAGGCAGAGGAGTCCGAGTCAAGGGGTCCACGAGTCTGGGTCGGCTGCTGCAGTTTGCCTGGTGCGGACGTGCTGTTGTTTGAGTGTGGCTTTGCCAAGACCTTTCCATGAAAGTCTCTTTGGTGACCAGCTGCTACATGAAACCCTGGGTTTTGGGAGCCTCTGACAATCCAATCTATTTGAAGGTTTCCTGGGAACGGGGAGGGTTTTCCTATATCACCTCCCATGTGTACACTGGATAGTAGCTAAGGATACCACTTCAGAAGCATTTCCATGCTTTATTCTCTCTTTCTGCTCTTCAGTGCCTCTTTCCCATATGGAAATTTTGTATTTTTTTTTCTGTCAGGTAGAGGACTTTGATTTCTTTTAGACAAAAAATATCATTTGCTTCAGAGGTTGGTAAGGTCCAGCATGCAATGCAGAGTCACCAGCAAGTGACGGGCGTGCTTGCTTAGCTCTGGGCTTGCCGTGTCACACCACCTCCAGTGCAGAACAGGGTGGCTACCTGGGGTCCGTGTCCTTCTCTTATAGGGGGCCTTGCCTTTTTTTTTTTTTTTCTTTTTAATCTTTACAGCCTTTAGAGGGAGACTTCCTCCATTCCAGTCTTGTGCGAATTCCCCCCAGATCTGCCTTCTGCTCAAGCTGTTGTCCACCAATAACCCGGAAGCTGCACCGTTGTTTCAGCAGAGCCCCTTGGTCAGCAATCTCCTGCTACCTTGGCCAGTCTCACAGTTATCTCCTGTCCTTCTGTCTGGAGGTTCAGAGCCAGAAGATGACTCTGTTTTCAGCGCCTGTGGTGGAGGCAGGGCTCAAAACAGTGACCATAAAGGTTCAGTCCTGGCAGGAAAAGCTCCTTTGAAGCTCTCGGCATTTAAGGTGCTTGACAAGGGTAGTTCTGGAGAGGGTTGGGTGGCATTAGTGTGAGTAGCGGGAGAGAGTTGGTGGCTAATGGAGTTTGGAGGGACGGGGATGGCAGCACTGCTACCTTTTGATGGCGTTAACAGGCACTGCCAGCTTGAGGGACAGACAGATGCTTGATTTAAGGAGCTCTGTGCACGAATGGATGTGTCCATAATTAGCGGGTGTTTAAACTGGAAGTGCTCAGGGCTCTTTGGGTGCTCTTATAAGTGCCTCCCTCCACACGGGAGGTGTGCTGGGCACCTCACTGAGGCGTGAGCAGGATATTGCCTTATCCCTTGGCTGGAGATGCCTTCTCCCTTGGGTGGAGGCCTGGAGGAGGAAAGCCCTGGAGCCTTCCCTGCAGCCAGGCTCTCCAGCCTGTGGGGAGCTCACACGGGCGTCTTTGCAGAGCTTTTATTTTGCCCTGTGCTTAAAGGCAGGCTGTCAAATACAGGCTCGTTGGCCATAGCGTTGAGGGGAGGGGGGTCCCAAGCTGGGCTTGCCCTCCTGCCCGGTGCCATCCCACTACTTCTCAGCCCCTGGCGCCACCAAGGATGTTGGGAACCACCTTCTCTCCCACCGCTATTTTTATTTTGGAGGGGGAGGACTCCAATGAAGCCCTTCTTTAATCAACCCAGTGTTAGAGGGAAGAGAGCGAGCGAGCCGGGGAGAGAGTGCAGTGAATTTAGAGACTCATCTTACCCCACCATGTTAATTATCTCCGCTGTAAAAAAGAGGTCAAGGAGAGGAACTCTACTAAATAGGACGACGTTGGCATGAACAGCTCCTAAAGTGAAGAAGGTAAGACTGAACTTTACTGGAACTTTTCTTTTTTTTTTTTTTTTTTTTGAATCTCTTCAAAAAGCTCCTAGATTAAAGCTCTCATATCTTTTTTGTTGAAATCTCATGGATTCTGAAGCTCAAATGGCTGGAAGGAAGCCCAGATAATTTTTTTTTATCCCAGTCACTGAGAGGCTCAAAGGTTTTAAGTCCTGCCCCCATGGTGAATTGCCGAGTATATGGGAATACAGAGGAGCCCGGCACATAGGTGTTCTGGCCATTGTTATCAAGAGGGAGAAAAATAAAATAGCTCTCTATGTAGGTCAATGACCTGCTCTTTATTGTCAGTAAAAAATTAAGGATGACCTAAAATCTACTACTTTAGGGAAAAAAAAAAAAAGCCCGGTAAAGTAGTCTTCCCCCTAATCAAAAAGGAAATGTTTGTGTTACCTAAAGCTTGACCTCCTCAGTCTCCAACTTTAGCAAAGTCTTCGCAATTGAAAAGCAGTGGTCGAAACCTCAAAACCAGTCTGAAATGTCTATTAATTTTTGATCTTTCGAGGGAGTTGGCTTACTTATTGTAGCAGCCCCCGCCGCGCCGGGCAGTGTAGTTAAGGGTCTCTCGGCATTTCCATTATAAAGCCCCAATATTCGCGCGCTTGTAACTCAGCTGTTTCCGCTGCGCCCGTCTGCTCCCTGCCTTGCCGTCTGCTGGCTCACCTGCCCTTCCCACATTGTCCTTCCTGTGCAAATAACATGCAAAGAAGGGATACCTCCTTTATTTTTTTTTCTTATTATTTTTTCTCCAAGCTGGAAAGGGCCTGGGTGCAAAAAAAAGTGTCACCTGGACTTCTGTGGACCAAGGGACCCTTTCCTGTGGGGCTCTTCCCCTCTCCTGCCTGCCTCTTCGTGAATACGCTCCGGCTTGGCCATTGCCCCAGCAGATTTTTCTTTGCCACTGACTTGCACTTAAGCTTGGTGCCTGCTCAAAGGGGCCGGGTTTGAAGCTGGGGGGCTTTTTGCTGAAGCTGGAAGGTGTCAGAAATCGCCATGACCCTGAGTGGTTTTGAATGGATAAAAAAGGCCCAAGAGCTTTGGAAGATCCTGCTTCCTGGAGGCTAAGCTATACCCCCATTGCCTCTTCCCTGGGGCCCCTGGAGGCAAGCTTAGCCCCATGGGCTAAGGTATACCATAAATAAATAAATACATAAAATAATTCTTGAGATCGTGGCAAACATGTACGTTTTAGAGTGCATTGCTTGTGCCTGTCTGTAGATGGAAGAGGATCTGATGCTCCTGGCTGAGCCTCAAGCAGGGCTAGACGGGGAGGGAGGCGGGACGTGGGACGGGGCCAGGAGGAAGGTGGGACATGGGACAGGACGGGGAGGACCTGTGGCATCCTGTGTGCAAGCCAGGGCCATGGGAGATGGGAGGGCTCCCCGCGGTGGGGGAAAAGCCCCTGTTGGAGGTGGACACCCACCTCGCGCAACACGCGGGCTCCCTCTCCTTACCCCAGGCTGGCGGGCGCCGTGCAGAAGTGCAGCGGGGCCCGGCCGTCGTGGCTGCGCAGCTGCGGGTCGGCGCCATGCTCGAGCAGCAGGGCCGCGCAGCCGGGGCTGCGTCAGACCCGAGATTTTACTTATTTTCCACCTCCTTTACTTATTTATTTACTTATTCTCTATTATGAGGAGCAGCAGGGATGGGGAACAACCCTGCTGTGATTGCTGGGGCTCCACTGCAACGGGAGCTCCACAGCATCTTCCACCCACCAAACTGCATCCCCGTGATCAATCCATCCATCCATCCATCTATCCATCCATCCATCTTTCTGGAGCCCCCAACCCAGGCAAGGGGAGTGCACGCACTGGTGATGTCCCATCCCAGCTTGCCAAAATGTTTTGCTCTCAGGCACCCTTTAGATACACTGTTTTTACATGTTTTTCCCCTTCTGGAGGGTTAGTGTGTGTGGAGAGGGAGGCAAAGGGGGGATGTCCCAATGCCTAAGGCAGAGCCCAGGTGGGCTCTGCGGCAGCCAAAAGCAGTGTTGGGCGCTTAGACACCCTGCCCGCTTGGCTTGGGGATCCCAGCTCTGCCTGAGGGCGGCGGCACAAGCGTGAGGTACCTGAGAGCCCGTAGGAGGCCGGGCTCCTCACCCGCCACTCCAGCTCGTCGTGGCTGATCTCGAAGACGGCGTTGACATCCTGGTGGTACCTGTCGGTGAGCACCTCGAGGGAGCTGAGGTCGCCGCTCAGCAGGGCTGTGTAGTAGCGGTAGGCGGGCGCCGCGGGCCACTGTGCCGGGTCTGACTTGCCCGAGAGCCGCAGCGTCTCCGTCACGGGGCCCGGGAGCTCGCCCATGGCGGCTGTGGTGGCGCCTGCGCCACGGCACAGGGTGGTGGGAGACTCGCTTGCCTCAGCGGCGGGAGCGCTGGCCGAGCACAGCTCGTTCAACAAAACATTCACCATTTTCCGGCGGGTGCTGGCACGTGGCCACCGCAACGCGTGACCGCCGGCAAGCTTGTGCCCGTGCCCTCCCTCGCAGTGTCCCGGGAAAAGGAGAGCAACCCGGTATCGCCCAGCTGGCAGTGAGGCAAGGGGGAAGAGGTTTTCCTGTCCTTGGTGCCCCCGCAAAGCTGCATCCCCAGGAGCTCAGGCCGGTGGGATAGAGAGGCACAGGGGAAGAGGGCGGTTTTCGTGCCTACCTTGAGCAGGATGGATGCCTCCAGGTGCCTCTGGCTTCGTGCCCCTCCTTGCTCGGTTTTCCCACCTGCACGTGCCAGGCTAAGCCCGCCCGGGGCAGCCGCCCGGCACCTCCCTCCTCGCTGGGGTTAAAAACCCAACAAAACGAAGCGGCGGGAGCTTGAATTTCTCTGGGTGCAACGCGAGACACTCGCTGGCCACCAGCGCAGCCGGCGCAGAAACGTTGCCGTGTTTTTATTTCCTGCGGACCGTCTGACCCCCGTTTGGCAGCGCTGCCGCCACGTGGTCCCGCCGTCCAGCCGGCACAGGAGCCAGCTGCACCCAAAGCCGTGCAGCGGGCACAAGGCGGGGAGACTTGGGGAGTTTTCTTTATTTTTGCACGAGAGGAAAGGACTGTCCCGGTTTTTGGAGGCTAAATTGCAAAATCACAACCGTAGGGTCTTTGCCTGGCGGAGGGTCTGCGCCGCACGGCAGCTGGCGCCTTTGCTGTTGGGAGGCCTTATCAATTGTGTCTGAGTTTTTAATCAGCAACTTAATAGCACTGAAACATCGCCCTGCAGCAGCTCCGTATAGGGCGTTAAGGGGTGCTGTGCAGCTGCCTTGCAGCGGCCTGTCGCTATCAGACACAAGTGATTTGATGTGATAAAAGCCCTTTCCAGCTCTTGTAACGATGTGGGGCTTTCTGTTGCTGCCTTTTTCTTCTATTAAAAAACATAAAGCAACAACGAAACTTGTCCATAACCCGAAGTCCCAAAAGGAAAATCCCCTGCAGCTCTCAGCAGTCGCTGCACAGGAGGCTGGTGGCCGTCTCGCCCTGCTGGCCTGCCGGGGCCGGGTCCCGTGCTAGGACCACTCGGTTATTTTTAGCAAATTACCCTTAAGCTCACTGGCTTTTGTGCTGGAAAGGCTGTTCCCTCCCGCCCCTTTCCCAGAAAAATATCGGGAAGGCATGAGGCAGTGGGAACACTCATCCGCAGTGTTGGTGAAAGCTGGCACTGAGCCAAGGCTGCCCCTGCAGCACTGGGGAAAAGGGGGAAAAAAGTTGTTTTATTATTCCTGACTTTTCTTGGGGCGGGAGGACTAGGAAGCTCCTTGATCAAGCCCCAGCCTCGTTGGCATGGGACCAATCCAGGCATGGGAATAATCAGATTTCCAAGGCAGTGAGGCTGATTTCATGCTGGAGACCTCCAATATGTTCCCCCTGTGGCCTGGGCATTTCATTTCCCCCCTTCAAATACAACCATTCTGCAACAAATTCCCATGCAAACCCCCCTTCCCTGATGGGAAAATCCCCGAGCAGGGCTTGCAGGGAGGCCGGGCACCTGCAGCCCCAGGAGCACGAGTGGGGAGCTGTGACTGCAGGGAGCCACAGGGAAAAGGGGGGTTATGCCCCAAACACCGCTGGCTGTGCAGAGTGGTGAACTCGCTCTGCAATGGGAATTAAGATTTTGCAGAGGCCACTAGAGACCCATGCAGCCCAGGATGCAAAAAGTCGGTGCCTTTCCCTCCCAGACTTGAGGAAAATTTGATCCCGGCTCCGCTCAGGCTCCGCTGTTCCAGAGAAACCCTCCCTGGGAAGCACTGGTGATGCTGCCTGCTCCTTCCATCCTAAATCCTGTGGGTGAAAACAGTGCTGGAGGGAGCTGGTTTGACCCTGGAGCCCCTCTGCAATAGGCAAAGTGTCTGTCCCGGTTTTGCCCAAGTGAAATGAATGCTTTTGCTGTGAGATGGGATTTCTAACACCCTCTTTCCGTGATAATCTCCCCATGTGGGTTGGCACCTGGACTGCTATTTTGCAGCTCAACAGCAGCTCGGAAGCAACCCGGCTGCATCTGAGCCCGTGGTAGCTTCCCGGACCCCTCTAATGCCCGCGTGACAGTAAACACTTAAGCCAGAACTTCCCTCCTGAGGCTATGGATTATATTTGAGGAATAATTTAGCAATCTCTTCACTTGTAGGTGGTAAGGCACTGTTAGATGTTGCCCACGCTCATCTCTGTTACGTGGTAGGGTGGCCCTCGCTTGGATGCTCCTGCTGGTCCTGCTTTGCCTGGGAGAACTGGGGCAATCCCCAGGCAACACTGAGATTCCCCCGCTCCCACCGGATTGTGCTCCCAGCTCCAGGCTGGGACAGAGGCTGGGTTGGACCTTTGGACCCTCCTGCTTGGGGTTCTTTGTTCACAACAAAGCAAATTTGTGCTCAACACGGCCTACTAATTGATTGCACTCTGCACACTTTGGTGGGCATCCCGTCCACTGGCAGCCGGTGGCTGCACTGGCTCTGCTGTCAGGAGGGTGAGGGTAGAGAAGGCCCCAAAGACTCCTGCCCAGGTGCCCCTGTTCAGCCTGCAGCCACCGCCGTTGTCTCACAGCCCGGTGGCCACAGGTGTTCCCCGTTGGCCGGTGATGCACCAGGGCCTCATCAGGGAGGATAAAAGCTGCAGTCCTGGGGCTTGCTGAGTTTTGCCTGTGGGGCTGCAGGCAGCTCTTTGGGAGCAGAGCATTTCTGAAGACCTTCTGCTCTGCTATGGGCCTGTGCTACCGGGGGAAGCTGTTACCCTGCGAGGGAGGAAAGGTGAGTTCTCCTGCTTGTGCCTTTCTCTTGATGCTGGTGGCTAGTTGTGTTTACAGGGCTAAAACAGCCCCTTTCCCCCCAATTCCTTGCTTTGCGTTGCTTGTTTTGGGCTTTGGCAGTGTTGTCTCCCTTGCTGGCTCTGATTCCCCCTTGCCTGTGTGAGGGGGATGCGTGGGACGATGTGGCTTGTGGAGGAGGTGGCTGCTGGTGGTGGCTCTGTTGAGCTGGGTGCCTGGGCATGTCCTGCCTTTGGGGTGCCATGAGATGGGCCGAGGAGGAGGCTGGGATGGGATTTTTTTTCCATTAAGGCACAGAAAGAATCTTTTTGGCATGGATATTGGAATTGGGATAGCTTGATGCTGTGCATGAAAATGAAAGGGAGCTCTAGCTGGTGCTGGGATGATTTGCAAGGCAAGTGAGAGGCAATTTTCAAATAGACTAGGATATTTCCAGTGCTTAAAGGGGTCTGACTTGTCGCTGGTCTTTTGAAGCCCTGATTTACAGTGGGCCCTTGCTGAGCACGTCGTAATTTGCAGCCAGAAGTTCCAAAGTGGTCACGGTCTCTATATGGGGCTGAGTGTCCCTTGTCCAGCGGCGCTTTGTGTGTTGAGCTTAATGAAGAGCCGGGGCTGGGCTGATTTGTGAGCGCTGTTGTGGTGGTGGCGTTGGAGGCTTTTGAAATGCGTTACTGACTCAGGGAAAGTGCAAAGGGGGAAAAAAGACATTTTGCTACTGGTGGAAAAGTCAATTATAACATTTGCACACTCTGGAAAATCGCTGATGCAGGGTGGGAGGTAATAGGAGAGTCAGCTTTGCTCTGTGTTGCAGAATTTGGGGGGTTTTGCTGAGAAATGTTGGTGTTTTTTAAAAAATGATAACTTAAGCAATATGCCATGGCCAGCACTGTGGGGCTGAGCCTTGTCCATGGCCACAGGGCACCCTAAGGCTGGTTGCAGATGTCACCTTCTGTTGAGCCCCAATCTGGTGCCTTGCAACTGCCACCAAGGTGGCCCATGGCTGTAGATGAGGGCTTAGCAGTGTGTTGTGCTCAGATGAGCTTGTCCTGCATGGTGGTGGTGAGTGCTGAAGTGCTGTGCAGGGCAGTCTGGTCTGCTGTTTTACAAAGGCCCCATAGATTTATTAAAAATGTTTAAATTGCAACACTGGAAAAAATATTTTCCTTATATCCTGTGTTTCTAGTGTTATCCTTGAAAAAGCAGCAGTAATTTTTCTTTACTAATCTCTTGGAGAAGGGAGTGGGGAGAAAGTTGTAGTGATTGTCTGTAATTGCCCCAGCCCTTTGGGGCTGGGGGTACAGATCCAGTGCTGGGAGATGGTGGCTTTTTGCAAGGCCACGTGGCCCTGGCATTGGCATGTCCAGGCTTCCAGGGGAAAATAACTCCCTAGAAGCTGGCAGGGATGGAGACAAGCGTTGACACGGCTTTTAGCAGGAGTTAGTGTCTGATTAAAGGGCTCTGGCCCCAGCAGCAAAACCTGAGCCCTTGACATAAGCCAGGGATCTAATAATACCTGAGGTGCATAGACAAAGCATGACTTCATGATGTGTCTGCTGCTCTGTGCTTGGTGGGGGCTGCTTGGAAACCTCCCTGCCATGAGGATCAAGCCCTTGGTGCTGCCCTCTCCTTGCCCTCTGGTTTGCTAATGGGAGCAGAGGCACTTTGGGTTCAAAAGCTCCAGGTCAGGCGGGATCCTGTGCACTGCAACTGGGGGTTGGCATGGCCAGGAGCTGGTCCTGCTGCATTGCTGTCTGCACTGAGGGGGGTTTGACCCCCTTGCCTGGCATTTGGGCTCCTTCTCATCCATGGGCAGTGCTGCAGGGTGCTGCTTTGCAGAGGTGGTGGTGAGGCTGCAGCTGGGCTTCCTCTGTCCATCTGCCTGTGGGGTGTCCCCTCCCTGCCAGCTTCCCAGCTGTGTGGGGTGATGAGCGGTGGTCATTGCTGTTGGCATCCCACAGGAGCAGAGTTTTCCTGCTGATGGGTGCTCAGCCCATCCTCTGCCTCTGGGAGAGGATCCTGCAGGTGCTGAAGCCCCCAAGTTCTCCATCTTTTGGTGGAAGCCATCTCTTCCATTCCTCCTGTGCCATTGCCATGGGCAGCTACTTGAAAAGGATTTTTGCTTGGCATCCCTCCATGCTGTGGATTCCTGACGGGAGGAATTGCTGCACAGACCCAGCCTAACATTTTGGAGTCTGGTTGCTGAATTTTAAGATGTGGTGGCCGCTGAGTCACTTGTTTTGGGGAGATAAACTGATATGCCTGAAAAATGATGATGTTATGCCTCAAAGCTGATACGGGCAAGGGCAGTTGGGTTGCTGCTCTGCTTCTGGTGGTAGCAGCACACCTTGCAGGGGATGCAGTCTCTGCATGATGGGAGCTGCAGTGTTGAGTTTTGCCTTTCAGATGTCTCATCTGAGACAGGGTCTGTCTTGCTCACAACAGAAGTTTGATTTGTGGCACTCATCCAGCTGAGCCCTCCAAAATGCGGCTGAGACTGAGCCTTGTGGCAGGGGGCTGTAGCTTCATTCCCACCTGTATGAGCAGGAGCTGAGGTTTGCTGTAGTCCCAGTTCTTGGCTTGGGTAGTTTGGCTAAAGGGCAGGCGATGGGGCTCGGGGATCACTGGTATCGGAGGTTTTTCTGGATCTGTGCCCAGGCCTGGCCTTGCTGTCCTTTCCCAATCCCCAGCACCCAGTTAGGCAGCCTAAAGGCTTCTCTGCTCCCGAGTGCTGGCACTGGCTTTTGGGCTCCTGCTCCAAGCTGCAGGATTTTACCCAGCCTAGGAGGCTATATTTAAAACACATTAAAATCCACAGTGCTGGGGTGTGCCAGGACTTTATTGCCTCTGTGAGAGTGAAGTCATATTTTGCTCCCTGTTTCCTGATGGCTCCTTCCCAATGCTGGAAGCCTGAGTGTTTTGCAGGGGGTGGATTCAGCTCTCTGGGGCTAAAAAGGAAAGATGGAGTGAGTGCACACTCAGAAGTCATGTCATATGTAGTTCTCCTGGGTTTGTAGGAAGCAATTAAGCCAATTAATTTATTGGTAAATTATCTTATGATGAAGTACAAAATAACTGCAATGAAATGCTGACATTCACATTAATACTAAATTAGTTACTGTATTATGACTGTTCTTACAATGAATGCCCAGTAATTTAATAGTAATGGGACATTTAAATAATTTAGCCGATAATTCTCTAGATCACTTACATATATAAATGAGTGTGACAGCCTCTTCCCTCAGCTCTGGTGCTGCTGGACTGGCGCCCATCACTGGCAGTGGGAGAGCGGTGAAGCTTCCTGGCACCCTCTCTGCTGGGGCAGGTCTCCTTCCCAAATTGCAGCGGTGGGATGGACATTGGAGACCCAGCCAGGGCCACCTGATCGAATACTTCAGCCATGGAATTGCTGTGTGCTGGCTCTATGGGACGCAACAGCTTCATTTTCAAGTAGTTGTGCTTTCTGCAGTAATTATAAATAGCATTAAAACTGCTCCTGGTTTCCCCCTACCCCGAAAGAGGCCTATGAAGCAGTTCTAGAGCTTGGCAGCTATGTGCAGCAGGGATTGGTCTGCTCTGCCATTTTAGGTCTGCAAATCTGCTGGCTGTTTGCTTTATCCCCTCTTCACCCCTGCACCCATGAAGCTGAAGCCACCTGCTGTGGCTTCGAATCCTAATGGAAGGAAGTGGGAAAAATGAAGCTTTGCAATGTGTGCATCCCACCCACTGCCAGGTCCCCCTAGAAGCTAAATTGCTCTGGTGGTGTTTTCCTCCCCCCAGAGCAGGTGAACACTGCAGGAAAACCGCAGGCTTTGACCTTAAAGTGCATCTGGGAAGGTGCAAGCTTGAGCCAAGCCCCTTGCAGCCTCTCTGCGTGGGGTCACCCGTGTCCCCAGAGAAGTGCATTGACAGTGATGTGTCACTGTGCTGTCAAGACTGGATTGAAGCTGCTGACACATTATTTAATGGTCTTGCTTACCTCTAGCTGAGACACAGTCTTTTCATCACTTCATATTTTGCTGTCAAACCTGTTGTGGAGAGGAGTATTCCTCTGTCTGCAAGATTGAGGATGGAATTACCCAGATTAGTTTTGTTGCAGATGAGAGGCTAGGAGGTGTTTAACACAAACCTGGCCATCTCCTCTGACAGCCTGGCTCTCCTCATCAAGGAGAGTTGAGTTCCTTTTTTAGTCTGGAGCTGCCAAATTTGCAAAACTAGCAGCCTGCTGCAAGTGTCTGCAAAGGAGGAATAAAGGGAGGGCATATTTTGCAGCTGCTCTGTTGGGAGTGACTGAATCCAAGCAGGTGCCACTTGCAGCTTCCCCTTGGGTAGCCATTTTTTTCTGGGCTTTTGCTGAGATTTTGTCTTTTCAGGAGCAGCTTTCTTTCCAGTTTGTTTCCCCTTATGAGTACAAGAGACTGTGCTGTCAAAGCCCTCAGTCTAATCCCCTTCCCACCCTGCTTTGCTAGTGTAGCTTCTTGAGCATTTTTGACTGGGTTTTTTTCATAGGAGTTTGGCCTATGACAGGTTACCCCCTGGTGTAAGGGCATACTTTCTGCAAGTTGCTGTCAATGTGCTTTTTGGCAAAATTACTCTAGCCCAGGAAACTGGGAGAGCAAGGAATGGAGATGGACTGCACAAAGATGCAGAAATGCTGGAAATAAGATATTTCCTTGTTACCTTGAAGACCCTGAATAATCAGGAGGGAGCAGCAGCCCTGCTGTGCTGCAGGATTATGCTAAAAATCAGTTGCATCTGGTAGAGCATATGCAGTGCAGGTGTGATGTGTCCTCCTGGGTCTGCCCTTACCAAAACCCTCCTGGCCTGTTCTACGGTACGGGCTGAAAATGAGCAGACCCCTGAGTAGTCCAGTCCAGCCTGTGTTGCATCTTCCAGCCTGGTATAGAGACCCTTGTGCTCCTGTGGGATGGTGTTTGCTTAAGGAGACATTGTGAGTTCCTCATTGTCTAGTTGTTGTAGGTATGTTGCAATTGGAGATGAAAATGGGTATTTGTGGCTCTGGTCTTCAGTGTAGGAGAAACCTGGTGAGTAAGGCTGTGCACTGGCATAAGGATGGTGCTGGTGCCAGCAGTGTCACTGAGGATGCCTTCATGCTTTGCAGCACTTTCAACCATGCCTTATATCTTGCTGCTTTGCACACAAAGTTAACCAATTTGAAACTCAAATGCTATTAAAAGTACTAAATGCTGTTGTGAGCTGAGTACTGCAAAACAGTTTCTCTGGACATCCACAAAAATAAACTGCCTGGCTGTGTTGCTGCTTGCTCTTCTGCTTTTTAATGTTTTCTCCTAGCATCTGCATCCACAAATGTGTGATGTGTCAAAAGGCAAAATGGTGCTTGGTCCTCATGTGGCTATGTAAATATTCAGCTTGTAGTAGAGTACATCAAGTGCCTTAAAATCCATCCTAATTAAAGTCTTTATAGTTCTAATTGTTTTATTGAGGATTGTAATGCATTAGACTTAGATGCATAAAGTAGTTAGTTTTATAAAGCATATAGGATATTAAAGTAATGAAAGGCATTACTATGACATCGATTTTTAAGGAGAGTTACTAGCTGAAATAAATGGCTATAGCCTAAAAGTTGATGACGTTACAGTCCTGAGTAATGAGTCCTTCTGCCCCCTAAAAAAAAAAAAATCTCAGAATGCATAATGCTGCAGCAGATCAGTGGTGGTTAACTCTTCATCTTCTGAGTTACATGCCACATAGGTGTCTCATCCTACCTTGTAGCTTTTTAAAAGCACAGTAAGAAATGAACACTTTTCCTGGATGAACTACAATTTGGAGTGCATTCCTCTGAAGTGGCTCCTCTGGTGCCATCTCCCCTTGAGTGAAGTGGAGCTGTGACTGGTATGGCCAGATGAAAAGCTCTCAAGGAAGTTATTTCTTTTTTTCTTTGCTTCCTTCTTTCTTTTTCCCTTTTGCCTTTCCTTTGCCTCTTCCTTTTTCTGCTTCTTCCTTCTCTGCCAGTGCTTCGATTCGTGCTTTACCCAGCGGAGTCTTGGAATACCAAGCCTGGAGGATTGAAAAGCAGGGCTATGTTTTAATAGTGCTAAAGAAAATCATGACAGAACACTTGAGGAACTTGGTGCAATGGAGCATTCCTTATGAAAGTCTTAAAATCCTGGCTGGCTTGTGGAGGAGCAGAAGTGAAATCCTGAGCTCTCCTGAGAACATTATTGTAATGAAGTGCAGCAGTTGCTTGCTTGAAGTGCGTCTCATTAACATGAATGTTAGCTTAGACCCTGTGTGTTGCTATAGTTATTGAAATGTTAAAACTTCTATGATGGACCTTATTTCTGAGGTATACAGCTCTTGTCAAAGCTCCCTCTGGTCTGAAATCTGGCATTAGACAAAGTGTGTACTACTTGTTCAGCAAATCAATCCAGATGTTTTTTATTTTGGTGAGAGAACTTAATGTTTGGGGCTTGTTTTATTTCTTAAAAACCTGTTTATTGCTTTCAGATGCCTGTTCACAGCGCTATGACTTGTAAATGATTTTGGTATAGCTGCTCAGCAAGCTTGCCAAGCTTCTGGGCTGTAATGTCAGCAAGGCATTCTAGATCAAGTTAAAATAATGTGAAATGGAGAGGGTAGTGTTTAAAATTATTAATGTGTAAGAACTAGTCTTCCCTCATTGGTATGTAAAGAAATCTCTATTGACAGTGTCCTGCCTACACTGGATATTGCAATGCCAGTGGGTGCTGACATTTTTGATAAAATACCTTTTCTCTCCCTCTTTGCTGTGTTCATCCATGTGCTGCCTCTCAGAAGGGAATATCTTTCCTCTTAGACACCCTCTGACCACAAGATTGTCACTCACTAAACCACCTGCACCTCAACTGTGGGTGTCAATATGGCAGTAAGTGACTGGCCCTGAATTAAAAAAAAAAATCTTCCCTTCCTGGAGAAATGCTGTCCGCAGCTCCTTGGTACAGCTGCCTCTTGTCTTTCAAGCATTTTGTACCAGTCACAACTAGCACTTGCTGGAGCACCCTTTGCCCCTCTGGGGCCATTATTTCTATTTAAGGATTTTTATCAATCACACTGGTGTGACAATTTAGAAATTTGAAAAAGTAGGACTATAATTGGGGCAGAAATTTGACTAAATTGAATGGAAGAAACCATATTATCACAAATTCTGCATTATTTATAGTCATTTTGGAACCCTAGCAGAATAAAAATGTCAAATGGAGAGATTCATGTTTCCAGTGAAACAGACACTCATCCTACTGTTACTCTTTAACTCAAATCCTGCTTTTAGTTCTGGCAACTTCAGAAAGGAATAAGCAAAGCAACAGAAAAGGTCTAATGGCAATGATTAGAGGCGTAAGGAGAGGGGCTTCCATATGAGGAGAGATGGAGACTGGAGTTAATTAATGCAAAAGGCCGTTTTCAGAGTCTTCCCATGTTCTGTAATACAGGTGCTGCAGCTAATTTCCATGACATTTAAGGGAAACAAGTCTAAAATGGATAAAAGGGAATACTTTAAGGGCTGTAATTAATGCATGCTAATAATTGCCATGGGACAGCGAGGACAGTATCATTTTAGCGCTGTTCAGAATGAAGTGCTGTCTGCATACTTGGTGCTGTAAAAAGGCACATTTGTGAAGAGCAGAATAATATTTGCAAGTTAAACTCACACCAAATACTAGCTCTCATGTTTCAGAGTACAAATGAATTACTGCTTATAGCTGGGAATGATATGAGTTTTGTCTTGTTGCAATGTGGAATTATTAGCTATTCCCTGAGGGAAGATACTGGTTTAGATAGGAAGCGTGAGGGAAAATAATTTGCCAAATATCACAAATGCTGCCTGTGCTGAGTGAGCCAAATGGCTCTAAATGGCAACTGGAGAGTGTTCAGCAG